GCTCTACACATGTAAAAAGCTAAATATCTATATAGTATGTGAAGACACCAACTTTGGAACCATGTGTTCTACTACTCAAAACTTTATATTCTGTCTTCTTCTAGTTAAGTTGTTCGTCAGGACTTTATGCTGCAGTGAACAATGAGCTCTCGGTGAGTACAGACGTGTTGTGTGGTCGTCGGTGTAACTGCGTGCTGTAGTCAGATTAAATTCACCGACTGATTCAACGCTGTACGACAAAGAAAGCTTCCCTTCGGAGAACATTAAAGTCTAGCTGTCAGTCTGAGCTTTATTTATTTAGTTCACATATCAAACAAGCTGCTGCAGCGGGGAGGACCAGAGTTAGCTGTTCAGAAGCCGATGAAACGTCTCAAACGAGGCGCTTTGGCTCTAAAAGCTGCCGAATTTTTCAGCTCCGGAATAAAAAAAAAAAGGAGCCACTTTTTTAGTTTTTCTCACAGGGAGCCCATCAAGCTCTGTTTTTAAGCACAGCGGCTGAAAGGAAGCCGGCATGTTATCGCTTTCCTTTCAGCCGGGGCTAATTATAAGGCTGAGGAGAGGCAGGTGGAGGGTCCGCGGCGTGGCCGACGTATTTCTGTTCTCCTCAGCAACAGCCTGGTGGCTTCCCTGCTGGGCCTCCACCTCCAATTTGCCTTTTATTGCCTCCTCCTCCGTCCATCCTGACTTTCCTCCCACCTCTCTTTTATTTCATGTTCTGCCCACATCCTTCCTCACTTGATCCTCATTTTGCTCCTTTATACGCCGACTCTCACTTTCCTTCCTTCAGTTTTTCCAGATTTGGATAAACACCCGACAAATATCAAAAACAATAAAAGGTCCACCTTTACAAACCCTCTCTGCCGTTTCTTTTGCCCTCAGACCTCACCGACGCCTCATTAACTGCTGAGTCTTAACACGAAGAAATAAAAAAAAAACTCAGAGAAACTGGAAAATGATGATGAAACAAACATCAGAGCCCAGCAGGACTTTCATATTTCACATTTCTGATGCTGCGTTAAACCCCAAAACCCACCCAAATTACAGCATTTATCAGAAACTGTAAAAAGATAAAGCAATGTTGGATTTTTCCACTTTAAAATGGTCCTTGAACTACCCATGTAGCATCTTGGAAATCAACTAAATCTAAACTTAAAACCTGGATATTTTATTATTTATTGTTTTCCAGACACTGTTTCAGGTTGATCAGTGGTGGCCTCCTAATTCAGCCGCTAGCTGCTAGCCGTTAGCGTAGCTTAAGCCACTGCGAAAGCAGCTAATGTCCTGATTTGTGGCAACAGATTTTATTTCTTGTTCAGTCTGACTTTAGAAAGACAT